TTTTTTTTGTCTAGTTGCTAGGTTAGTTGTATTTCGTTGCTAGGTTAGTTGTGTCTTGTTGCTACGTTAGTTGTCCGTTGTTGCTAGGTTAGATAAATTTAGTTGTAAGGCTAGATATATTCAGTTGTAAGGTTAGAAATATTGAGTTGCAAGGTTTTTTTGTTTTTCTAAAAAAAAAAACAACGCCCTAAAGGGCAGGGGATTGGACTGGATCCCCAACCTGTATATAGATCAGGACCTCAAAGCGTGCCCAAAATATCAAACAGCTACAGATAACATAGTCTCACAATAAAAAACAACCAAAAACTGATAAAGAAAATAGTACAAGGTCTGTCATTGGGCTAATAGATGCCCGGAATAAATGTATGATCAAATGAGAAAAAAGTCTAATATACTAAAAGCGGAAAGATGGATATCCAAGCTGGTCTAACCGTACCAGCGTGCGAAGGTGGAGTGGAGCAGTGTCGGTCTGGAACGTGTGAAGGTCAGGTATGGTAGCGCCAAGGCTGGCAAGGTAGGCAACAGGTCTGTTCCCCTCACGGAAAATGTGCGTAATCCTATGATGGATAGACCGCAAAAGAGCTCTAATGCGCATAAGTGGGTGCTGAATCTGCCACGAGCCTGGTGGCCCGAGGTCAGGATGGTGATGACCGCAGCAGCGTCCAGCTCGATCCAAATATGACTAGAGAGGTGGGCAGCAATCTGAAGGTCAATCTATAGTGCCTGAATCTCTGCGTCGTAGCTCGAGGAGGCCAGAAGGGACGTGTGAAAGGCGGTGATAAGGGCGCCGATGTGGTCCCAAATCAAACCTCCTCCTCCGACAACTCCGGTCTGGCGATCGAAAGAGCCATCAGTGTTCAACTTAATCCAAGGAGAATCGGGTCGACGCCAAACAACAGCTCTGGGTCGAGGGGGCCGAACAAGCGCAGGAGGGGCCACCATGTAGCGGTGTGGTGGCGAGCAGCCTGTCCAGTCTCGGGCAGTGAGCCTACCCAAGGATGTGAGGAGTGAAAGATGTCTCTCTACCTGCAAAACAATGTGAGAAATGAAAAAAGTAATATCCCTACGCTTTGCACTATTCCTCTCCGTCCAGGTGAACCAAAGGATCAGACAAGAAATGAGGAAGCCCACGTGTCTAAAGTGTGTGCTATGTGAGAAAAAACTCAGGAGCTCAAAGAAACTATCTGTGGAGGGTAGGGATATATGTGTCCAGTTGGCAAAGTGCTCCCACACTTTCCTCACAATCTCACTCTCTAGAAAAAGGTGGGTAAAGGTCTCGGTCTGATGGCGTCCAGTCTCAGAAAAACACACACTCTGGGAGAAGAAGGGGAACCCCCTCGCGTGTAAAACAATGTCCACGGGAATCCGGCGCAAGAGGAGGCGCCAATGGATAACCGAAATGGTAGGGGTGAAAAGATCTCTCCAGATGGCTCCGAAGAGGAGATTAGGCCGATCTCTCCACCTGATCTGCTCCCAAGCCGAGGTAGTAGAAAACACACCAGATGATGTTAGTCTCCACCTCATGCCATCTGAACCGTCCCCCGAGATAGGGATCTGCTGGATCTGATCTAATAATTGCTCGCTAAAACCCGCCCCAAGGCCCAACTCCCTATCAAGCTTTCCCCTATCCCACGACCCGTCCGTCCAAAGGTCGCTCACAAGCAGGAAGGGAGAATGCGACACCTGCCTGCCTATCCCTTGATAAAGGTCTATCACCCATCCACCACTCATCCCAGAAACTAACCTTGCCATCTCCCAAAATCCAAAATATGTGGTCCTGGGCGCGCCTACTGACCCTAGTAAGGCGCCTCCACTGTCTGCTATCATGAGCAACCGCCGTTACCCAACAAGGGTGGTTGGCGCATCTAGAGCAGTACTTGCTGCGAAGGTACTGGGCCCAAAGTGACTTTCCTTCCCTGAAGCGCCACCACAACTTGAATGAGAAGGCAGTAACAATATCCATGAGGCGGCAGATGCCAAGGCCACCCTCAGAGAAAGGGCGGCAGATAGAGTCCCAACTCACCTGGTGGGTACGTCTCCCCCTCCCGGAACCGTCCTCGGAACCCCAAAAATAACGAGCCATGATCTGGTCAATCTCGTCAAGAGGAGACCTAGGGGGGTCGAGGACCATAAGAGGATGAATCGAAAGAGAGCTAAGGGTAATCTTGATCAGCACAAGCTGACCACCGAATGAAAGGTGTCTATGCGACCAACCAGAAATCCTGTCGATCATCCTCTGCCTGATGCCCGCAAAGAGCGCTCTCATGAGAGTGCCCTTATATAAAGGGGCACCAAGGTAGGTAATAGGAAGGTCGACGCGCGAAAAGCCAGTGATCTCATGGACCCGCTGAGCCCACCTGTCCACGCTGGAGGAGGAGAGGGTGAAGGTGCTCTTCTGCACACTGATCAGCTGGCCAGTAATCGAGCTATAGTGCTCTAGAAGGTGCATAAGCTCAATCAGCCCATCATCATCTGCCCGGGTGAAGATGATGATGTCATCTGCATAAGATAGGTGCGAGATTGGAGGACCATAGCTACGAGTGCTGTTTGTCATTTGTGGATAGTCGCGGATCAAGCCGTCAAGGTGCTGTTTGTCATCTGTCATCTGTTTGTCATCTATTTGTCTAAGGCCTCTAGAGTAGAGGAAAAAATCAGTGGGGCTACCAGTAACCAGGACCGAGAACGTGCAGTGCTCCACACACGCCTCAACAAAATTGATCCACCGCTCTGGAAATCCTATCCTAGCCAGTGCTCCCTAAGAAACGGCCACTCCACCCTATCATACGCCTTAACCATGTCTAG